AAATGACCAGGGTCATTTAACCAAATGACTGGGTCATTTAAATTTTGAGCAAATGACCAGGTCATTTACCATCCCTGGTTGACTGTATATGTACTTGTTCACGTTAATTTAATTGATGTCTTTATAAATACCATATAGTGCTGCTCATATAATTTTGTTTAATTCGTGTTGGTCACGAGTTCGTCCGGGTGATCAAACTATACGTTCTCTGATTGGAAATTATTCTAGTATGATCTAATCATGATAACGAATGTCGATCTTATGTCCAATAAGTTATCAGTACACGTTTATTTTGATGTCATAACTGATAACAGATAACAATACAGTAAAATAAACACGATGATGAAAAGATGTAAGGTTTTTTTTTCAACACATAACACAATCACTTTAATATGTGAATTTCAAGCCAAAGTCATCGTATTTTTTTATTCTTTACTCAAAATATATGCATTTAAAACATTCACTCAACACATTTACTTTAATATATTTTGTTTCTTTCAAGCCGAAGCCGTTGACTTTAACTAAGATAAGTATTTCGTTCTGTACACGCTTGTGTTCAGTTGCTATGCCTATTTTTTAACTTTTTTCGTTTGAAAGTTTCTTAGGTAAGTAGTTTTTTCGTTTAAAAGTTTCTTTCATCGGTAAGTAGTTTTTTTTAGCGCATTGACTGGCCCGCGCAAGAAGAGTGTCAAGAACGGGCTAGAAGATTATGCCACCCTCCTTACCTGGGAAAGGCCCCTTACCCTCGAGGGTTTGAGTTTGTTTTTTGGTTTATTACTAACTTTTACATTATAGTAGGCTCAAATTTCTCGAGGGTATTTTTTGCTTTCACAAACCCAGGTTGTGAAAGCTTGGTATAGTTTGCGATCTTTTATAATTTTTGGGTCACTTTTGGTATTGACGTCCTCGTCGTGTGGCCTGGGTATTATTTAGTTAATACTAAATAATAGCTAACAGATACCAATATATTGTTTTTGTTGTGTATGTTTGATAATAATTACTATTTCTTTATTTTTTAATAATCACTTTTTACTAGAATAGAACGTTGTTGGTGTCGTCGCTCTTTGATGCCGTCATTGTTGCAGTCGCCTTAGTGTATTTAGCATAACTTTGTCGTTATAGCACTACTCAATTTGGTATGCAAAACTTTTTGTTATGTTTGATGCGTTGCTTTTTGGGTTTCATTCGTTACATAATAATGTTTCATTATGTTGATTGAGTCTTTAGGCGGTTTTGATGGCTCATCAAATATTTCAATGTCTTTTTTTTCGGCGACTTACTCGTTGGTTTCAATAATTTCTTCGGGCTTTGGTTGCTTTTTCAATGTCTTTAGGGCATTCTTTTGTCGTGTTATTTTGTATTCGATAGTTCTTTCTGGTGTATTCTTTCATTGGATGTTGGTAAAGTTTTTCGGTTATTCATTTCTATATATTTTTCATTAGGCTTGGTGGAGTTTCGTTGTTTTAATGTATTCTCTAACGTGCCCTTTTGTTGGGCGTTAGTGGTTTCTTTGGCATTTTGTACAACTTTGTACAATAAAATTTCGGGTTTCTTTATAAATTTTGATTGATCGATCAAGATGTATGAAAATTTCAAATATTTTTATTATGTTTTTGGATACAATGTATACGATATTAAAGATAAAAAATTGGTCGTTTACTTCTTATTAATTACAGTAATAAATGATTACTATTGCTTGATTGATATTCTGAATACATATTTCAATCTATATTATCTACTTTCACCTACAGATATGTCTCAAATAATTAAATAAAATTTCATATTCGTATAATCTCGTGTGTATGAAATTTTACACATTACTATCCAATTAAACTTTTATATTGTTAGTCAAAGTCAGTAACTCATCAATCCGTCATCAATCCGTCAGACAACCCAGAATTTATATAAATAATAATCTATCACTTTATTTCACAGTGATTCTTTGTATTATATTTTTACAGATTATGTAGATATGCTATCAAGCGCTTTCTGCCTTCATCTAAATTAGTTCTGTTGAATCTTTGAGTACAGGAGTATCCGCTATTAACTTTAGATCTCATCTGTTCATCTAATAAATTGAGGACCAATATTACCGACCATTTTTCATGTTCATCGTAGATTTTGTTTTAACATTCACAATTTTACGTACCCAGCAAAAGTAAAAAATTTTAAAAATTTTAATCGAGATATCCAGACAACTACCTGACCAAATTGATTAAATTTTTTTAATTGAATTTTATGAATCTATAGAATTCAAATAAAAAAATTTTATCGATTTTGGTCAGGTGGTTGTAGAGATATCTTCGCTCAAAGTTAAAGAAAAATCAAAACGCCTACTTATAAAATTGATGCTGCAGCAAATTTTTTCAAGACTTTGAAACTTTTTTTATTTGAATTGTATATTTTATTAATAAAAAAAGTTTTCATTCTGATTGGCTATTACAGTCCACACTAGGGAAAATGTCCGTCTGTTCGCCATGTGATATTATTCTTATTGGCCGATAATTAAATCAGCGATTTTTTTTTTAACTTTTATATTTATATACCAGTAATAATAAGTTAGGCTGTTAACCTAGTGATATCAATACAACATAATCGCTATATATAATTTATGTATATAGGATTAGATAAAAAGATTTGAAACTATTTTGCATATATTACATAATTGTTTTTATTGCCTGGAGCGTAGCGACAGACCATTAGTGTACATGCAAAGTGATACGTATCTTTTTGATGCATCCATTATGAAGATCACATCAAAAATGTAATTTGGAAATTTTTTGTGTCCGCACGCGTAACTAAACATAATATGATCATATGATCATTTTCCTGGTATAGTTTGCTACTTAAGAAGTTTTATATGTAGCTGGTCGACGGGAAAGGATGCTATAAACTTGAATGACTTATTATTGTTACATAATTTTCGAAACAGTTCTTGTAATTGGTCCGGAATATATTGTCAGATGAAGGAAAATCTATATGCAACTATATAAATAAATAGAAGGTCAGCTTAGTAAAGTGAAGAGGATATGAGAATATGGGTGTTCTCAAGCATCGCGATTTCATAGTGATAAAAATAGCGCACAAGTATTAGATGTAATATTAGCTATTGTCATAACATTTTGGATAAAAGAGCAATACAAATAGCGATGTTGTTGAAAGATCTTAATTTCACGGACGAGGAAACAAATATATTGCGTGTTCGTTTCACACAGAATGAACGAGATTATTTGAAAGGCCTAATCGATAAATATAGTAGGTTCTTTTTTTTTCGAAGTATAAAATAGTAATTGGCTAGTATTTAGCTTCATTGTTTATTATTTATTTGCATCAAATTATGCTCTGCTAATACTTGTACTTTTTTTACTTCATATCTGAAACAAAAAGCCGTAAAATCTGGTGAGTAAATCATGATGTTATGTTGGTCAACTCAATTAAATAAAAAGGGTTATATAGGTTCTTACGCAATCAGTTCGTTTTATTAATGCTTAAGGAATATTATCTAGTGAAGAAATCATAAAGAAACTTGATCCGCATATAATTGGATCGGTAGACTCACTTCGTGAATCAAATTCCAACATTTCAACTTACTTAAAGTTTGTGGATCGTGAAGAAAAGATCAAACAGTTGATGAAGAACATGGAAAGTCTGCATAGCTTAATCAAAACAGGGAACAACATTCGGAACCTCTGAAAGAAATATATTTTCCAACTGCTGTAGGAACAGCTGAAAAAGGGAAACCCACATTTGCTCGACGAGCATACGATAATCCAGAAGTTTATTCTACTATCGTGAATTCTGAAGTTGTAAAGGCAGTAAATAAATGTCGCGAGGCAGGCTAAAGTTATCGAATTGCGTGTGATTTTGGCAGAAACACTAATGCGACATTCGGAACGATGTTACTATATGAAGCTTTGAAATATAGATTGGCGTAAGATTTAACATATTCTATTTTCACTCATATACAAAGCTTGAATCATCATGATAATTATTTTATCACATCTAATAAATAAATCTCTCAGCAATAATATAGATTATTCAAGCCTTAGGGAAATGCTCGGGAATAATATTACCCTTGAAAAAGTGTTTGATGTGATTATGCATTATACGAATGCGAATAAAGAATCACTTTTTATTATAAATATCGATGAGACCAATTCTTTGTTTGATAATGATGATAATAGCGGATGACTCAAGGAGGTTCTCAAGACTATTGCAAGATTAATCGTGAAAAGATATTTCCTTTTTGTTGTATTACTGGGACCCATGCAAGTGAACTGTTTAATGCAGTAAAGCCGAGCAATTCAAGGACTGAAGATATACCTCTACCACTACTCAAACCCAAACATGCCGAGGAAATTATAATTGAGTTGGCCAATCGGGGTAACTTTTACTACTGGAATTAAGATCAACTATTGTTTAAATATAACAACTAAATTAATTTAACCCGGTATCTTTTCAGGTACGAGAACAGAAGCAAGTACAGTTGTATACTTATACTTTAGCTATGTATATGAAATTAATTTTGAATTCTTTGTTACAGGCTTACTGAGATCTCTCAACATTTAAAAAACATTATTGACCTTCTTAGTTTTTCTTGAGGCTATGATCTTCGAGATGGGTGTTATGGGTTATGCTACTGCTTTCGGAGTAACCACACATGGTACCAAATTTTATCAAAGTGGATTACGTTACTTCTTACTACATTGCAATATAAGCCAGAATATTGCCAAGAACTCCTTAAAAGAACAAAACAACATATCAATAGAAAATACAATCATTATTTTAACCATTTCATTGATAATCTTGAAATAATCCCTTCCTTGGTTGCATACACATTGTTTGAATGACCTGTTAATCAGTCAGACAGAATTGGTATTAACAGGATGCATAAAATTGAGGCAAGTACGTTTTTACTTACCATCTAAATCCCAAACTCTGACCAAATTAATATCTCAAAAACTTTATTAACAGTCTTCATTAAACAAATAAAATAGTATATAAATTTATTCTCATAGCTATATATGATAAATTTACAAACTGCTTATAAATGACATTAATTTTGAGAGTTTGGGGTTTGTACAGGGTTTGCCTGTAACTGAAATTTGTATGTTTTTTGATTATTTTCACAGGATTTGGAAAAAGATGAGATCATTTTTCTTGATGGAAATCAAGTTTCCGTTTCTATCTCTTCATGAAATCTACTTCTCTCCTCGAAATCTTAGTGCAGTGCCATCTATCAGAATACTCGAGTTCCTGGGCAACGATATGTCACCAGATCAAAACGAGAAATTAACCATTTCAGTGCTTATATTTTGACTATGGGCGATCTACCAAAAGTCAATTACCAATGGTGCCATCGATCTATGTAGTTGTATGCTAGATCCAACCAGGAAGATCTGCTACACAAGTTTCTACCTGTATTTGCAGTCCATTCAACGGATAGGCAGATTATGAGAAAAACTGGAATGAATTTGTTAAAAGCACCAGAAATAATATTCTTGCTTACGGATCCGCCAATTCTCATCCGAGGCAGGCAACAAATAGTAAGTCACCAGAAGATTATTGATGGTCATTCACCGAATATTTTGGAGAAGGATCTCGTGAAGAAAGAACATGATAAATGTAAAAAAGTCGGAAAGCATATTTTTGTTCTTGTTACTGATTCTAAAAAGTGTATGAACGAGGTCTATGATGAAAATGAGATTGTAATAACTGAAGAAGGAAAGAAGAAAATATTTGGAGATCTATTAACACTTAGAGCCTTGTATTGCATTGAACAGTCCTAGGATTAAATCCTTTACTATCGATATATAAATAAATTTATATAATAAAAATTTAGTTGATATTACAAACAATTGGCAATTAAAATTTAAAATAGATTATAGTACATGAATGTGGGCGGCTTCGCCGCCTAGTATCATTATTTAAAATTATTGGTTTTTATTATTTATGTAAGTTTAAAGTAAAGCCACACAAACTTATACTATTGGTTTTCATATCCCGGCCGGGTTGGTAAGGTGGGTTTTGAAATTTTAATTTTTTTAATATACTAACCAATAGAAATTTTCTATTTATAATCATGCGAACAGAGCAAATTTTTATTATAGTAGCTATGTACTTGAGCTGTTTAAAGGAAGTTAGAATAGAATATGCTATATCGTATTGTAGTGTAATTTTAGTGCAATTCTCAAATTTCATATTATATGTAATTATAAAAAAACAGGTAGAGCTTTGTATTAATGATAATGAGAAATTGTTTGGTGTTTATTTTGTAGCCTTTACACATTATTTGTCATTTTGTAGTGTTATATTAGTACAAATTTTTTGGACAAGATTTTTTACACCTCAGTTCATGTATAAAATTTATAATTTCAAGCTAACTTCTGTCTTATTTTTTGTTTAATTCATTTTACTTCTATTTAACTATTCAATATTGTCTCTTATTACAATACATTCTATATTATGTTATTTTATTCATCATTTTATCTATCACTATGTGTTATGGTGACTACTATATGTAATTGAGTTTGCATTAGAGTTATCGTGATTTCTTAACAATGTAGATAACTTTGTGTTAGTTTGCATTGGAATTAACATGATTTTATCATGAGTTACGGAAAAAATTCTGCTACTGAACTTGCTATTCCAGTAACTACAATGTGTGGTTAAGGTGAGTTAGTTTGTATTGGGATTATCATAAATTCTATTGTGAGTTACTGTAAATAATTTCATACAGAACATGCTATTTCAGTGACTACTGTATTTAGTTAAAGTTGTGTTAGTTTGCATGGGAATTATTATGATTTTTTATTATGAATTATTGTAAAAAATTCTATACAGAACTTACTATCCCAGTGACCATAATATATGGTTAAGTTTGAGTTAGTTCACCTTGTAATATCATAATTTTTATCAGTTACTGTAAATAATTCTGTTGCAGAACTTACTTGATATTCTGGTGATTTCAATAAGTGTTTAGTTTGTAATGAGATTAACATTTATTCATAAATTACTAAAAAATTTTGTTACATAACTAATTGCTCTGGTTAAATAAGTTTACATTAGAATTATCATGATTTCTGTCGTGAGTTATTGTAAACAAAATCCTGTTACAGAATTTACTCACTATTACAATGATCATAATATGCAGTTAAGTTTGGGTTAGTTTGCATTAAATTGCTGATTTTTTATCGTGAATAATTTTTTTACAGAAATTACTCACTATTTCAGCGACCACAATATGCGTTAGTTTGTATTAAAATTGTTATGCATTCTATCATGAGTTACATACTATAAATAATTTTATTACAGAAGTTATTCGCTATTCAGTGTTTAGTCTTTGTATTAGATTTGTCATAATTACTATTATGAGTTACTTAAAAATTCGTTACGGAACTCACTCACTCACCATTTCAGTGACCACATATAATGTTGAATTAGTTTGCATTAAATTAACATGAGTTACTTAAAGAACTCTATTACCGACTTATTTTCTATTCTGACTTATTTACTTTTATTCACATTAATTTAGTGAGTGAGTATAATGAACATTTATTAACCTAAGCATTCAAAATAAGCTACTCAAGTTTATGAATATTTACTATCATATTAAATTTTATTCGTGTTAATTAGTCGGTGAGCATAAAATTATTTGTGTCCGATTTAAAAGTCACATAGCAATGTAAAAAAAAAAAAATTACATAATACAATTAATAAATATTAATAAATATAAAGAGATTCAGATGACAGAAAATGTACACATTGTAATGAATACAATACGAGTGCAGCATGGTGTCAAACATGTGATCCTGACATAACAATTAGAGAATGGACAAGTGGATATAAGGATATTGATAATTGCATCAAAGAGGTTCAACTTAGAACTAATAAATATGAATAAATGATTAAATGGATCCCATTTGATAGACTAAATAATATTAAAAAAAATTGGTGAAGGAGGATTTGGCTCCGTATTTTCTGCGACCTGGCGTGAACCATCTAGCACTGCTGCACTCAAGACCTTATCTGGCTCAAAAGAAAATCCTCATGATTTTTTGAAAGAGGTAAGTTGAATCATCTTACGTTTATTAAACATATATTGACCAAGTCAGTTCTATAAATTTACAAAGTTTGAAATCATACGAAATGTAGATTAAACGATGTTATATGGATTGACTCAAAACACAAAAACAAATGGATACTTTATAGTATTTCAATATACTAATAATGGAAGTCTTCATAAGTTTTTAAGAATGAAATTTCGAGATCTTACTTGGCAAACTAAATTAAGTTTACTTTTAGATATTTCACTAGATTTACTTAAAATTCATAGAGCAGGGTATATTCATGCAGACCTTCACAACGGTAATATTTGCAATTAGTAAAAATATGAAATCTTATATCTCAGATCTAGGATTATCTAAAAAGACAGATGAAAATGATTTAGAAGGTAGTATTTATGGAGTCTTGCCTTACATCGCTCCAGAGATTCTATTGGGGCAGAAGTTTACGTCAGCTACCGATATTTATGGCTTCGGAGTCATTATGACGGAAATGTCAACTAGACAAAGGCCTTTTGATGGTCGTCCATTTGATCTTAGTCTTTCATTATATATATGCAGAGGATTGAGACCAGAATTTGCTTCCAGAATTCCAGATTGCTATACTGAATAAGCTAAGCGATGCGTGAATTCTAATCCAAAAAAACGACCTGATGCTTACGATAAGCTTAGTGAGTGGAATAAAATCACGAAGGATTCATATTATAAGAACTCGGATGATAAAAATGAAATAAAAAGCAGTTCCTAGATGCGGATAAAATAATCAAAGCATTGCCAATTACCTCACCAAACCATCCAGATTCTATGTACACTAGCAAAATAGTAAATACTCAAAGAATCAAGTGCTATTGAAGGTATTAATTTCAAAAAAAATTATGCTATATATTTATTCATTTAAAACTAATTATGATATAATAGACACTTTACAATGTAAATGATAAAAAAAACAGTTTAAAAATGTTTTTGTGTTTTAACTGAAACAAAAAAAAAAATTTAAAATATTGGCAGCTAAGTTTGAGACTGAAGTAATTGTTTCTGATTGGTTAATTTCTGTACCGGAAAAGTTTTATAATATCATTTCGAGAAAACATTCATACGAAAAAAATTCTTATTAAATTATCATGTTTATTAAAAGTATTTATAATTATAAAGATCTTAAAAATGCATTGCATTTAAAGATGCAAAACTGTTAATTTCAAATTTAATCATTTTACTAACTCTAAATTAATTAATTTTATAATCATATTGAATTGCATCATAATTTTACGATAATAAAATGTATTAAAACCAAACAATCATGTTTTAAGAAATCATTTGCCATCTCTATTTCTCTTAGTATTATACTGTACTATATTAAGCCTACAGTATTTATAATTAGATGTCAGTTCTGAATATATGATAGCAAAAATACTATTCCTGACAGGATTTAGCCAACCGTTTAGCCAGCCGCTTAGCTTCTTAGCTTGCTGATATTTTTATCAGCCGGTTAATCATAATACTGCTTACCGTTACAGTATCACCCAAAAATAATACCTACATTGATTTACTACTTTTAACAAGGTCAGAAAAATAATTGAAGCAAAGCTCCGAAAAATTCCGGATGGTTCTAGTAGCTCACATATTATACATACCAAGGTGCTCGACTAAAAATGACTAAAAATGATTCGCTTAATTATAAAAAAAGCCCAATGAAACCAGTAATAATGTAAAAAAAAATTTGTCCGCTTTAAAATTGCTCATATCTCAAAAATTTACGTATAAAACAAACCGATTCTGTGCTCTCACATTTTTTTTTGTGGAAATTTCCTTATATTGTTAATTCATTTATAATTATCCTAATGCTTATTATAAATTATATAATGATCAATAAAGAAATTGATTATCACGTGTGCAGACAAAACTCCTTGCACGCTGGGTCTTTCTTCCTGCGTAGTGGTCATACCAATTGTTACAGGGAATTATTTCATAATTGTGGAATTAATTCCGTTAGCAATTCCAAAGATTCCACACTTGTGGATCGAGTGTGGGATTGTAGAATTAACGATCATTAAGAGCATATCATATACAGAGGTTAGAGCTCTAGAAAATACGACCCGGGTTATAACCCGGGTAAACCGGAAATTCAAAAGGTTTTTGAAGTTAATCCTTAAAAGTTGATGCAACGACTCTTAATTAGAGCTGTTAGTATAGAAAACAGCTTACTCCAAATATTTAAATTGGAATTTTTGGATTTTGTATTAAAAAAAAATTTCGATCTTGCTCGTGATTTGAGTTCGCACATTTTCTACATCTTGATCCCTCAAGAAGTTGACCCGCACGAGTCAGACGACTCGGGTAAAAGCTTTACTATTTAGTAAATTATAACGTCTTCTATATACCTATAACGTAAATTGTGTAATGTAGCGTTTTAGTGGGGTTTGCCTATTTTAAATTCTGGCCCGGGTTAGAGCAATTTTCGACCCGTGACCCGGGTAATAGCTCTAACAGAGGTTACGTTTTGATATTCGTACTACATACTCTCTTTCGCATTAATCATCTCATTCAGCTCGATAATAAAGAATATTTAGTGCTCTTTTCGTGCTCTTTTCGTGCTTATAAAAAGCAATCTACTGATTAACAGTTACCTGATCACAGTAACATAGCCGATAAAAAAAACGTGCCAATTGCATCACCACAGCAAAAAACTCGGACTGGTTTGAAACAGGTTTTTACATGATTACACGTTC